AAAAAAAAAAACAATTTGAGTGCACTTATCTCACTACAGATTTTATTATTTTTATAAAGCCCTAGCAGCTTGAAGTTTCTGGATAAATGCATACGTAGACTGTTCTATACCGAAAAAATATAACCCTGTTTTTTATTTTGAAATCAAGAAATATTAAGAGGTCCCTCAAAGCCCTTAAAATTTTCAATGTATTTCACATGAAAAAAAAAACATTTTACGTAGAAATGATATAGTACTCTTAAAAATCAATATTTTTCGAACAGAATACTCTGTTTCCTTTCAGGAGACTTCCAATAATAATCTCCAATTGTTTAATAAAAAATTTTTTAATGTTAAAAAAAATCCATGGGTTAATTAAAAATGGTAAAATAAACAATTGGATATTATTTTTGAAAGTCTCCTCAAGAGAAGCAGAGTTTCTCGATCAAAAATATTGATTTTCAAGAATTCTTTTTTTTCATATAAAATACATGGAAACTTTATAAATATACTTGATTTCAGAAAAAAACAGATATAGAATAATCCTAGGGGGATAGAACATTAAGATTCGGACTTTGCCTTTTCACTTGCATTTTTATACCGCCCTAATATATGTACATAAGCACTTGAAAATAGAATATTTTCACACTTCAGATATCTAATGATTTTACACTTGAAAAGAGATTAAATATAAATATAAAATTCAAGAAAGATTTTTAAGGAAGCAACTGTTTATTTCCTTTAATTTAATTTCCATTTTTTAGCTTAAATGTGGGACAGTTAATTTTACACACAAAAAAAAATCATTAACTCTTTTTTAAATTTTCTTTAAATATGTTTAGTTTCATGATCCTGATGATATATGTAATTTTATATTTTTATCAGAAATTCACTAGGTCGAGTGAGAACTCATCAGTCTCACCTCAAATAAATGTCTCCCTGTTTAAAGATAAATAAATAAAAGCTTGTAAAAATGCGAAAATCAGGGAGCCACATGACTAAATAGTTTGATTGTTTCGCTTTTGTAACTGTGCAGAATTGTGCCCACTTGTTGATATCCTTTTTGATGTCATTGTTGTTGAATCCAAGGAGTGGGCTGGGTCCAACAAATTGGGTGTTTGCCCATTGTTCAGCTTGGAAGTCCGCATTTTCATTACCATCGTAGCTCTCATGACCACATTACGGAGTCTTTATTCTGGGTGGCGTGATCATTGAGTGTTCTGTGACACTATACGAGAATTTTCTAAGAGTATGGGTAGCTATCTAGAGCTTTGAGAACAGATTTACTGTCCGAAAATATGGAGCTATTTGGTCTGACATATTATCTATATAATAAGGCGTGTACAGCGATTTTATGAAATCTAAGATCTTAACATAAAGTGCGCTGGTAATCGAGGGCCCTAGAGACTATCTCAGAATGCTCTAAAGTCTTACTCTGCTTTGGATGTGTCCTCAACTGTATGATCTACATGCGCTGGCTAAATGAGACTTTCCTGGTAACAAGCGGTGACTGTATAATTCCCTTTCGATTTTGATGATGTTATGTCCAGTTGAATATAAAATTAAATAGTATTAAAAAAGCTTTGATTTTTAATAGGCTGGTCTGAAGAAGATGTACGTTGCAAATAAGAGATTTGACCCAAAATGCAAATAGGATTTCAAGTCTACTCCCTATATTTTTAAAATTTTTTATGGAAATACATATTTTCACACGTATTATTCTTCGTTTTAGCATTAATCAACCGTCCTGCCCTGGGTGTTTTTCCTGCAAAGGAATGGCCGGACTATTTGAACTCAATTCTTAGTAAAATTGCACCCAAAGGCCTTAATAACCTGACAACAATGATGTGCGGTTCCTGCTCAAATGAGAATGCATACAAAAATATTTTTCTTTGGTAAGATTTAAGTGTATTTTTTTTCATAAAATTTATCTTTATTAAGAAAATAGAGGGGCTAGAAGGTAACGCAGAAAAAACGGTATGTATAAATTCCCAGTGTGGAGATCCCGAGGCACTAATTGATAGGCTAGCCGCAAATATTTAGAAGGATGCAGATGCCACCAGTCTAATTCTCGAACAAGAAAACGCGATACATTCACAGACCACTACAAAACTTGTATAACGAAATAGAAGACAGTATTATAAGGCAGTTCAGAATCAGATGGAATAAGTTAACCACCTGGACTATCAAGGAAGAATTGCAGCTCATACGCAAAGAATGGGAATCAATAACGTGGACTGGTTCAGGTAATATAATGATCCAAAGTCCAGGGAAACCTTAGAGCACATTCTACTGCCGATGTTCCACACAGTCAAAAAAACGACTAAAATGCTTAGGAACCTACGATTTCGAGAAGTTAGCAGACATCGCAAAAGTAGAGCTGAAATTATTACTGAAATTCGCAATAACCGTTGACATTCTTTGAAATGCCTACTGAATCGCCTAAAACCGATCTTCAACTGGCAACGCTAAGAACCTACTAGTCTATGTGTAGCTCAACGCCGGCTAGATTAACCTAACCTTATCTGAAAAAACGTATTTAAAAAATATTTAACTCTTCATTTTACAAAGACTTAACAAATTTCCATTACATCTCTATTTAGGTACCGTCGCAATCAGCGTGGTGAAAACGTTGACTTCACAGATGCTGAAATGCAATCGTGCATGATTAACCAACCACCCGGTGCACCCCAACTGAGCTTGCTCTCGTTTAAGGGCGCATTCCATGGACGCACTTTGGGCGCACTCGCCACCACACATTCCAAGTATATACACAAAATCGATGTGCCTTCATTCGATTGGCCAATTGCCACATTCCCACAATATCAATATCCGCTCGCTGAAAACGAACGCTACAATAAAGAGCAGGATCAACGTTGCTTGGCTGAGGTTGAGGATCTGATTGAAAAGTACAACAAAAGAGGCATACCAGTAGCGGGTATTATTGTTGAGCCCATACAGAGTGAGGGTGGTGATAATGAGGCTTCACCGGAATTCTTTCAGGGTTTGCAAAAAATTGGCAAACGTCGTGGTGTGGCACTGCTGATCGATGAGGTGCAAACCGGCGGTGGTTGCACTGGTAAAATATGGTGTCACGAACACTTCAACTTGGATGGACCACCTGATGTGGTGACATTCAGCAAGAAAATGCAGTTGGGCGGTTACTTCCACAAGGAAGAATTTAAGCCGCGTCAAGGTTATCGCGTCTTCAACACATGGATGGGGGATCCGGGCAAGTTGTTGCTGCTGCAAGAAGTTATTAATGTTATACAGGAAGATAATCTATTGAAGAATGTGAACATTGCTGGAAAGGTGTTGAAAGATGGCCTGCTGGCTTTGGAAAAAGAATACTCACATATCTTAAATTCGACAAGAGGGCGCGGCACATTCTTGGCGGTCAACTGTCAGAATGGTAAAGCGCGCGATGATATCGTAACTAGGCTCAAATTGAAGGGCATACAAACTGGTGGCTGTGGTGAGCTTTCAATACGTTTCAGACCCGCTTTAACATTCCAAGAAAAGCATGCACACATTGTTTTAGATGGCTTTAGAAGCCTTTTGAAAGAATTGTAATTAGTTAGCGAGACTATGGGGCTTTAAGCTGCTGCCGCACTTGCATTTAGTAAATATCTGTTAGATCAACGGAAAACTTTCGTCGAATTGCAGCGAGCTATCGAAATTTGCACAAAAGTATTTGAAACTAAATGCAAATGATTTGTTTATCACTTTGATAGTCTAGTACCTACTTATGTATGTATGTATGTAAAATTTATCATATCGATTTTATATGAAGAGATAGAAGATAGACCTTCGAGCTGAGAGTGAAAGGTTAAATATGGATTATATTGTATAAAGAAAATACAACACAAGGATTGTGCTCTGAAACTTTGCTTCCAATAAATTATGAATATTAATTATTTACCAAACAAACATAAAATACTTTTCATTAACAAGCTCAAAGAGCTTGAAACTTTTGCTTAACTGTAAAAATTTTTGTGTATTATTTCCACATTAGTCGTTTAACAGAGTGTCTCAAATGATGTTATTTTTTCCCCCGGTATTCTCTTAAAACAGAAAAATACTTGGAAACTTCTTATGTTTCGAAATTTGTGCAGTAAAATTTGTATCAAGTATGTAAATGCATGTACTGGCTACGTATACACTAGTCTCGCTGGACTCGATTTAGGCGTCTTCACTGGTTATAAATTTTAGTACAGAGAATATTGGTGAGACTCCGAAAACGAAACTCTGATTCTATAACACGAATACTAACATCGCACTGATCTTTGCCAACATGAACTGTGGTTTCAAGGCTCCTCTTAACGAATTGCGTCTGAGCTGTAGATAGTAAGTTCTGGGAACGAGCTTCCGACTTCTAGGGGGTCACTTCTTCGATGACACGAACTGCATAGGAAGGGTCTTGTTGAAGTGTTAACTAAAAGCGGCCCCCCAGCTCTAATATATCTTATCAAGAAATTTTATTCATAGTACCGGCTACACAGGAATCGTTCCCAAATGGAAATGTCTGCTGTTCGTCCATAGCTGAATGTTGCCTGTTACAGATAACGAGATGCTGTTGATTGAGTTGAAACTCGGTGTAACCAAACTCATAAGATGACCGATGCATAGTGCAATAGTTTCCATGGGCAGTGGCTCTGGCTGAAATCCAGAAGTGACTGTGTTTACGCTATTATTTGGGGTATTCACAACGGCGTCGTAAGTGTCGTATTGTTGTAGGTCGTAGACTTTAAACACCTAAAAAATATATTAAAGGGGTTGAAAAAGTACCGTCAAAGTCATACTATGCATTTTCGCAGTGTTGAAAAATAGTTAGTTGTGGTTTCAAGTTCTCTAACCATTTATTTGAGCTTTTAGAGTTTACGACATACAACAATACGACAATTACGACACCGTTGTGAATCCCTCAATTGTAGTGCACAACGGGATTTAGAAATTCAATTAGTGAGCCGGCACAGACCTCACTTTGGAAGCGACGAGACGAGACCACCCAGGAACTACTGTACGCCTCGCATCAGGACGGTTGCAATTGGGCAGACTACCTTTCATCGGTCGCTGGTTAAGAAAACTTGGGCAGAGACCTAAGATAAAGAAAATCCAACATGGGAAAGCCTGTCTATTTGGCACAGGGTTGACGGCTTAAAATGCATTAAAATACATAAGTAGGTAAATCAATAATTACCCATTTAGCACAATTCATAGCAAGAGAGACTTCGATCCTGTGGCCCAATAAGTTATGCCGATTAACGATGCCATAGCTGGTTACTTTTACGGATTAAGCTAGAGAAAAATGGAAATGAGTCCTCTCAATCGATGTCCAACGGAGAAACCTAAGCTTATTCTTTTAAAGACTTCAGATTCTGATCTTCCTCTTCGAAAAAATGATCACTCTACTTCAACAGAAACTCCAAATTTTTTTTTCTTGCATGTCAAGTGCCTAGGTTGTGTCCCTTTCAACCAAACTTAATGTTCAATTGTAATTTTTTAAATTACGAGGCGTGGCTATTAAGTAACGAAACTAGCACTGCTACAGAAGAAGTATGCTGCACGCGTACTAAAGAAGCTGAGTGAAGAAGACTTCCAGAACTGTTTCGAATAATACAAATAATACTGTTTCGAAGTTGATTACAAGGAAAGATGTATGAAATCAAATTACACTGTTTGCAGCGCCAGTCTAGTTATTTTAACCGCTGCTTGCGAAATCATCTCTCTACAAACCCGAATTCCAGAGAAGGGCCTCTGTAAAGCAATAATATCTATGATTGCCAAAGGGTCCCAAGTATGGTAAACCGACGAATCGAATTGGACGACGGGAGTTATGGGGCAGATGTACTAAGACTAGTATTCCAGAAAAGTCTGCCAATGGGCAAATAGATAAGAACAATAAAAAATAATAACTTCGTACATATTTACCATCTTCTAACTAACTTTTAGACACCAAACTGTTGTATTTTGTTAACATTTACTTAAGCATTTTATTTTTCACATTTTGTTTTTTTTTTTTTAAGTACATACTCATCATATAACACAACATTACAACAATTACAATTCTATAGCCTTAAAGGTATCAGCTTCACTTTCATTTAGTAATTTTCTTAAATTATGTTTACGCTTTTCTCGTTCGCTTTGCTTATCATTTATCGAGGACATTTCCGCATCGAGGTCAGCGAGGCGAGCTTTAGTAGCTTTCATGCGTGAGGAAGTTTCAGTTGTAGTACTGCTATCACCCATTATAACATTTTCGCTTCTAATCTTGATACGTCTGGAAGAAAATGTGCTAGCCTCCTGCAAATATAAAATTAATGAAATGCTTATTTAAATACACTAGAATAATCGTGCGGTCGATTAACAACCATAGTGTAAAATACGGTGAAAGCTGTTAAAACCAGCTTTCACGAGCATATCATCGAGCTTTGGCTGGTACAATAAAATATTTATATTAATTTTTGGTGGATAAATATAGATAGGTATTTATTATAAAACTCGTCTCTCTTAATATTAGATAAAATACCTGCTGATCATCTAAGTCATTCAAGATTGACCTCGCTCTGCCGGGTCTTTCGATTGCTTTTAAAGCTCTACTTTTTATACTCTCGCCGAATGCTGACTCATCTGCACCATTCAATTTAAGCGATTTGAAAGATGATTCAAATGGTTCGGCAGATGCTCTATACTTCAGTGATGATTTCAGCGAAGATTCAACGCCAGATTCGTCTATGCCTTTGAATTTTAGTGGCTTATAGGCAGAGCCTAAGATATCGTCATCTGCATGTAACAAAAAGTTGTATTAGTTATTGCAAGCACAAAAAAATATACCAAGTTCACAATCAAAGTACAAATTTATGTATAACTAATACCTTCATCTTCGAGGAATTTGTTTCGCTCCGCAATTCTCAGCTTCGATTTCTTAAGTGTGGCACCAAAAAGATCATCACCTATTTAAAATAAAAATTAATTACTTGTGTAACTAATGTATACCAGCTATTTCTTCGTTTGTTGTAATATTACCCTCATCATCCAATTGTAGTTTGGCTCTGAGTGAGGCTCTATATTTCTCGCGATCAAAATCATCCTCATCTTGTGAGAATGTCACTTTTGGCGGCAAGCTAGTTTCTCGCGTCAGCGGAACGTGTGAGTCTATGCTCCTGGCGAGAAAGAAAATAAATATACATACATATGTACAGTTTAGAGAGTCCTTATAGGATTGAAAAAAGTGGATAATAAGTAGGTATGTTAATATTTGTACCTGCCAACTCCCCTTTTATTATCTATGCTTTCCAGCAATTTTTTATATGAGCTTTCGCCGATATCATAGTTGGCACCATAAATGCGAGTACGTCGTGGGCGATAACTGGACATTCTGAAAGATGTTTAAGAATGACAAAACAAGTTATAATTTTTTCCCCAATATTCGAACGAAATAAAACTTTTAAGCCACTGGGTATGCAAAAGTAAGTAATTGGCTTTTTGGGGTTTTGTTTTGAAGGTTAAGTATTACGGAAAGGATCTATTTTCCTTCCGTTGCTTTGAAAATACAGCTTCTCATCTGCTTTCGATTGTCAGAGGTATTATCTAATTCAGCTTGCCAAGAAAATGACTTATTGAAAAATACTAGCGAGAGGCATTTCTTTTGAAGCAGGGACCGAAAATAACAGATATATTTTTTTTAAGTCAACTTGGCCAAATATTTTTTAAGTTTGAAATAAAAATCATTTTGCTGAGAATAGACGAACCGCTTATCCAAATTAAACAAGTTTGGTAAAAAAGAGAAGCGTTTGGCCCACCGTTGGTAGAATAGAACAATCCTAGGTGATGAGAGCATAAAAATTCCGACTTTACTTTTTCACAAGCATTTTTGGACCACGTTTAATGTACATATCGCATACCGTCTTCATAAGAGTCACAACTCAAAGTAATACGTTCGTCAGAAAATGTGAAAAGCTATGTCGTAGCACATGCTAATCATATGGGGAAGGACGACTTAACCTTAGGTTGTTTTTTTTAACAAATTATAATAGCTTTTGCTGAAAGGTAAATAAAAGCTCTGTGTACATTTTTAGCGCATAATTTCAAAAATGCCAAATTTTGAGTTGTGACTCTTTTGAAGACAGTGAGCGATATGTATAAGGAAGTACTCATTAATCATCACAAATATGCAGGCCCGAATAGAGGTGTTTACCCTCTGGCCGGGAGTTTTCAAACTACGTATGTATGTATGTAGTGCGAAAAAATCATATTATTTATTGCAAAAAAATACCATTTCAGAACACCCGTTTCGTACATGTGTACATACAAATGTATGTACTCGTGCAACATATTTGCTACGCAGCACACTTGGCATATTTAGCTAGTACAGGTGCCTAGTTGTTAAAGGTTTATGTACACACATTTGCTATGTAGCCACACACACATTATTGTCGCTTATGAAAAGGGCGTAAAAATAGAAATCACTGTTGGTTGCGTTTCACAAAACAGATCTCAATTTACACAAAAATACTATATATCCTATTGTACAATACATACTATCTATGCAAAATGTGTTTATTTATTCACATTCATTTATGAGTGAGTAATGAATTTCGCATATTCAATTTGCATTACCTATGTACATTCATATAATGTAGGTATATACATACATACTACTAATCTTACTAAATTTAGCTAACGGTTTATTTAGAACCAATGACAACATGCCGCCGCCGCCGCCGCCGCATTTAGACTATTGTTCTGCAAATGCACGTACTTACATACATACTACGAATGCAGACAAATTGGCAGACATGATTTATTACTAATTTATTTTCTTGCATTTGCACACATTTAGTGACCTCATAGCTCATGTTAATTCATAAGCAATATGGCGTATAGGTTTCAAAAACTATCTACATACATCCGAAACTGCACGGAAGTTTCGTAAAAGTCGAAAAAGGAAAACTTAAATTTTCTATGTGTAATTTTTTTTTTTTTATGTATTTAAGTACGAAGGTTAGCCAAAAACCGTTGTCATCCAAAAATACAATACAAACTAAGGTTCGATCTCCATTTTGGTATCGCTAGGAACCCAAAGGTCTACGCGTATGAGGGTAGCTCATTAACTCCATGAAATTTTGAATTTCCCGCGTTGAAATTTAAACGGTAACATTGATCCGAACAACTACTATTATTTGTCGATAGACTACCAAAAAAAAATACGATATTGAACCAGCTTAGCATTTCGTTTATTAAAGTCATTGAAAGCAAACAAAACTCGTGAAAGTTTGCGAAAATTAAAAAAAATTAGACCGTACCACCTTACAAGCAAACAAACAAAAGCTCGCCGTATACCCCTGAGTCTAAAATATTTTTGCAAGCCAATTTCGAAAAAAAAATTTTGTGGACCGCCTTTTTGTATGAATGAACATAAGCTGTAGATATGTACATGGGTATAGCATATACTTGCATTGATTGTATTGCAGACTATCTTAAATCAACTTATCATTTTTTAACGCTCAAGCTCAAAATTAATGTAGATTATAAATCATAGCTGAGGCTTATTAATTAATTCATCTCAATAAATGTCATATCACTGTATGTATGTTTCTACGTATATATATACATTAGGTTGTCTCATCAAAAAAGTTGCGGGTTTTCCCACGAAATTATAAAATTTATTATCAGGGTACAAAATTATAAAATTTATTATCAGGGTATACATATAAACGCGCAAATGCCTCGTAACCGTGTAAACTTCGTAAATAAACAAGTTTTCCATACAAGGTTAAGTAAGTTTACGAAGTTTACGTGGTTATGAGGCATTTACGCGTTTAGATGAGTTACTTTTATATTCAAACACTTCAGCCAATATTAAGATTCCGTTGATAAAATTTTTAAACATTTTTATGCATTTTAACTTTATACTCTTCTATCATCTGAGGCATTTTTAAGAAAAATGGCTTTTAAAAAATAATTTTATTTATAAATAACTAGATTTTTTTAGGTGTTTTCAAATACATCCAACTCACGTAAATCTTATTATTTTCTGAAATACTTTAACGGAAGTCTTAAAAACAATAAAATTTATATAGAAAGACTTTTTTTATGGAGGGTGATGCATCCTAATATACATACATATGTAAGTGTATACACTATAGCGCAAAGCTGACTACATGGTAGTTTTTGTTAAATAATTGCAAGATTTATAAAATTAAAAATTTTTTGTTGTTTTTTTTTTAATAAAAATATGGTAATGCAGTTTTTTAGCCTGTTACATTTTAGAATAATAAAGTGCAAGTTTTAAGCAACTGAAAAATCGCTTTGATTTTGCAAATCATAAAAACTGGCGTTGATTTTTTAAGTTTTCTTCGCAAACGGTTTTACGCGTTCTTCCATAAGAAATTCATGTTTATTTGGAAAAAAGTGCAAAAAGTCATCACCAAAAAAATGTATTAAAAATCAACGCTAGTTTTTATAATTTGCACTTGTTGCATGAAAAAAACCGCAGAAACCTGCACTTTATTGTACTAAAATTTAACGGGTTTGCTGAATACCCGAAGAGTTTTAAAAATTCAGATTAAAAAGCTCAAAAATTTCGATGAAAATTTATTTATTGAATTTTTCTTAGCTCTGTTTGCCTTATGTATATGGTTTTGGTTAAAGCGTGAACCATATTTTTATGAAATAAATAAAAAAAGTATTTTAACTCTATAAATCTTGCCAATATTTAACAAAACCCACCCGGTATTCAGTTTTGCACATAGTGTATGTACATATTAATCTCGCTTTATAAAAAAAAATAAGATCGAAAATCTGAAAAATTCAAATGCAGTAAATTTTTTAAAAGATTATTTTTATTAAAAAAAAAAATCAGTTGCCAAACCTAGACATATTTTTATTAAAAAATATATAAAAAATGTATTTACTTATGTATGTAAATATGTACATATACATACATACATACATATGTATACACATATAAATATTACACATTTTCAGCACCCTTTACGTGGAAAAAACCGGAATGAATGAAATTAGTTTTGTCACCAATGGAGAAAAGCTGAAAATGTGTCATTTATTTTCTCGTCGATTTAGTGTTCCCCTCTTTGCAATATTTATAAATGTCCTGCATGTCTAATGAGAGTTCAAAACTGTATGTAAGCCCTTACGCTGGTTAAATTTATTGTATTTTTAACCAGAATTAAGTTCAGCCGCACAGTATACGAAAGAAGTCCATATACCGAGTAATTAAAATATACATGTATACAGTCATACATACATACATACATATGCACGCCACTGTATTTTTAGAAATACAATTTCATTTTTCACAGATTAAAATTTTCGTTTAGGATATGTAGATTAAGCAATGTCATGTCTAAATAGCTTTTCACGGCGTTTTATTTGTCAATTCACTCCAACTTTAAACCTAAAAAAATTTATAAATTTCTTCATTTTGAACACTTTCACTGCTTACGCACTTATCTTAAAATTTATAATTTCTCCTCTTCAGTATTATATAATAAAATTTTACAGGTACACCCTGAGGGCACCTTCAACCTTTAAAGACTAGAAAAAATTTCCAAATTTTCACTTCAAAAACCTATAAGCAGCACTTTAAATTATTATAATTTTTCCACCTTCAAGTGATGTGCTTTCTTCTTGCGTTTCGTTTTTTTTTTTGATTCACTAATTCAACTTGCATTGCCTGAGAACTTACTTGAAAAATATATTTGCACCTCACAGTTCTTCTGTTACTTATCACACACTAATTTTAAAAATACAATACAATATGTTTCGAAAAGCTGAGAAGAACTTTCAAAAATAGATCACAACGTACTCTTATTAATCACACATTTCACGTCTTATATATTTGTATATATATACATATGTATTTCAATATACATTATGTATGTACATACTCACCTACAAGTATAAGTATGTACATAAGCATACGTATAGATTTATGTATGTATTTACAGAAATGTATACATTCATACGTAGATATGTAATAGAATTTCGCACGTATTAAAGCGTAACACACAAAATTTCACTATTCGTTATTCTTCTTCTATTCATTAATGAGTATAAATAAACCAGAAATGGTTGGTGTGCGTGAATTATTAAGATACCCTAAACAAGTGCCTAAGAGAAGATAAGTACTCATAGATTTTGGAAAATTATCTAATTAACAAGAATAAGAATAAGAATAAGAATAAGTCTAACATCAAATAAAAGTTTTGTTAGAATCAGTATGGCTAGGTTCAGCTAAGGAATATAAAATTACGCTGGATGAGCACAAAACACTCTGGTACGATATGTTTAAGTTCGCTAACATTTTAAGCTTATTTGGTTCCAAAAAAACTTTTATCTTCTTCGCTTTGAGAAGTTCCGCCAATTGTTCATATCAAGAAAACAAACAGGCCATAGAGCAGTTGATTTAACGGGTGATTTTTTTGAGGTTAGGATTTTCATGCATTAGTATTTGACAGATCACGTGGGATTTCAGACATGGTGTCAAAGAGAAAGATGCTCAGTATGCTTTGACATTTCATCATGAACTGCCCATGCATCCCGAAAAATGCACTGTTTGGTGTGGTTTGTACGCTGGTGGAATCATTGGACCGTATTTTTTCAAAGATGCTGTTGGACGCAACGTTACGGTGAATGGCGATCGCTATCGTTCGATGCTAACAAACTTTTTGTTGCCAAAAATGGAAGAACTGAACTTGGTTGACATGTGGTTTCAACAAGATGGCGCTACATGCCACACAGCTCGCGATTCTATGGCCATTTTGAGGGAAAACTTCGGAGAACAATTCATCTCAAGAAATGGACCGGTAAGTTGGCCACCAAGATCATGCGATTTGACGCCTTTAGACTATTTTTTGTGGGGCTACGTCAAGTCTAAAGTCTACAGAAATAAGCCAGCAACTATTCCAGCTTTGGAAGACAACATTTCCGAAGAAATTCGGGCTATTCCGGCCGAAATGCTCGAAAAAGTTGCCCAAAATTGGACTTTCCGAATGGACCACCTAAGACGCAGCCGCGGTCAACATTTAAATGAAATTATCTTCAAAAAGTAAATGTGATGGACCAATCTAACGTTTCAAATAAAGAACCGATGAGATTTTGCAAATTTTATGCGTTTTTTTTAAAAAAAAAGGTATCAAGCTCTTAAAAAATCACCCGTTATGATTCTATTGTCTTCATGGGCATGCCTGCTTTCATTACCCCTCATAGATCCAAGTTTGACTATGACTATGAAAGCTCGTACAATTATTACTTATTATTATTGTAGGGGACAAAGTACTGCGATCTTAAGATTTATTGTGCCCCTTTCATGGATTTGTGTAGTGCGCTTATTAACCCAGTATCCGAGAGAATCTTTAGTATTGGGCTTAAATGTCTAGATTTCACTGTGCCCTCTGTTATTAAATGTTCATCCAAGTGTCTTTTGCGCTTGTGCATGAGTGTAGACACCTTTCCAATATGTGTCGTGCAGTCTCGATATCCGTCCTGCAAAATCTCGCTTCCTTCGATATCAATATCGTAAGATTTGTTAGAGCTGTATGAGGTTGGGCAAAGGATATGCCATTTCAGCTCTTGAGTTATCATAGGAGGCCTACTCAGAAATTTTCCTGCTCAAGCTAAAACCCCTATAGATGGGATTCGTCCCTGCTTCGAAAAATTGCTAATTGTAATGTGACACTAAAACTTTCAGACGAGTTCAAGAACAGTTACACATCGTATGCCCTCTTTAAATAAAGAAGAAGAAAATGCCGATTCCTAGAAATTCTTATAACTAGATATGTACTCCCTTAGTATTGTTTTTTGTAGCATTCAAAAAGTTTCGCATAAACTGCCATATGTACATACATACATACATACTCGTATGCATGCAGCGTGTACACATTGTAGTTACTATAATTAGCTAATTCACCTTAAGCCTACCTACTTAACGCTCAATAGAAAAGCTAATTTTCCACATATTTCTCATACTTCGTATGCAAAAAATTAAGAAAAGTTGAAATTGGTTCTTGAAATTGGTATTGTACGAGTATTATGTATTTGGTTATTTGAAATTTTCTCTTCTCAGAGTAAGTTGATTTCGAATACGCTGAATGTAGTTTGCCGGCGATTTCGATTTCACGAAAATAGGAGCATGCTATTGCATAAACAAATGTTAATATATAGTACATAACTATGTATGTATATATGTATGTATCTATATGTATACATTTATGTACTTACTTACGTACATACATATCTATATGCATCATTGTACATACATATATATTAGCGTGGGCCGAAAATCCGCTTTTTTAGAATTTTGATTGGTAATAGCATAGAAATGGTTGATTATGCTCAAAAAAAAAATAGTGTGAAATGTGAAAACTTTTCGTCAATATCCTAGGCTCGCCCAAGTCCATCAAAGTGCAAGTACTAAAAAAAAAATTATCTTGGCTTAAAAAGGTCCATATACCAAATTATGTGGACTAATACTTTCGAAGATTATTGCAATTTTAGTAAAAGAATATATTAATTTATTTATTTATTAATTTTTTTTTTTTGCGCATATTGAACTTTGATGGACTTGGGTGAGCCTAGGATATTGGCCACAAAATTCCAAATTTCACACAGATTTTTTTAAAGCATAATGAACCATATTTTTGCTATTACCAATCAAAATTCTAAAAAAGCGGATTTTCGGCCCACGCTAATATATATGTATATGTATATAAATATAGGTTGTAAATATACGCCTCTGCATGTCGTTGTACTTTGTTTACTGCAGATTCGTATAAACAAAAGAGCAATTTGTGTTAATATTCTCCAGGTTCCAATGTTAACAGCGACAAAATAATACTTGTAAAATAGAGCAAGTGTATTTACATATATACAAATCTCTATACTACATATATACATATACTTGTGTACATATGGCGACTACATTTTTTACGTCCACATTTCCACTGAAAATGTGAAAATATACAAAAATCTGTTTGCCCACACGCTCTGCTGCATACAAATGTATTTGTATGCATATGCATTAGGGTGGTAAAAAAAAAAGTTTAAAATGTTAAGCTCTCACCCCTGAGCATGTTTCTAAATGGAAAAAAGTATACCAGTTTTTTTGCTAAAAAAATTACATTTAGAACTGCCTCAAAGCCCATGAAGTTGTCCATGTATTTTTTATGGGAATCTGTTATTTTACCATTTTTTTTAATACCAACGATTTTTTATGGGCCCCTATTACATTTTTTGGGGGTTTTTTGGCGGATCTATAAAAAATAGTTAATGAATGGTTAAATAAACAATTGAGAAGCAGAAATTTCCGATCGAAAATAAGATACTTGAAAAACTTCATGGACCTTGATGCAGTACTAAATATCTTTTTTGTTATAAAAAAACGGATATTATTGTTTTCCATTTGAAAAACTTCTGGGGGTGACCGCTTAACATTTTAAACTTTTTCCCTGCATGTATTTTTGGACCACCCTAAGTTACGGACAAAAATCGATGAAACTAATTTTCAGTAATAAAAAAATAAAACAACTAATTTTGAAGAAAACAACTAATTTTAAAGAAGACGTACCCTTTAATTTTTTTATGCTCCGACTTAAATTCTAGTATAACAAATTTAGAAGTACCGTTAATTTTTTCAATAATCGGAATTAATCCAAATTAGTATAGGACCACCCTTGAAGTACCACATTTATGATTAAAAATAATTATCGAAAACGGTTCATGTGGTCCAAAGTTAACCGGTAACATAATCATAATAATAATAGATTGGCGCTTACACATATATTAGTGTTTGGCCGAGCTTCTAACCGGTAACATACATATGTAAAAAAACCAATTAATTGATAACATTCCTCCTTTTCTTTAAAGTCGATTAAATCTTAGAAGTACCGTTATTTTTTCATGATGCAATGTTCGGAAGTGGAAGGTTCAAGTGGTGCAAAGTTATCCGGTAACATACAAACTTAAATAAAAATATATTCCGAAAAATCGATAACCTTCTCCTTTTTTTAGCCTTTGGTCGTTAGCAGCAGTGTTGCGGTTGAGAATTTTCAGAAAGTCGCAAAAAAGGGGTCATTGACGTAAAAAGGGTCACCATATTATTATACCCGAGCGCACTTGTGCACATAACGGTTGTTTGTAATAGGCAAAACGAATCGAGATAGATATAGACAAATGTATACATAAATGATCAGAATGAAAAGAGAAATCGATTAAGCGGCGACTGTCTGTCCGTCCGTCCGTCCGTTTGTGCACACGATAACTCGAGTAAAAATTGAGATATCTTAACGAAACTTGGTACGTGCACTTCTTTCGGGCGTAGGACGGATAGTATTGAAAGTGGGCAAAATCGGACAATAACCAGGCCTACCTCCCATATAACGGCAATTTTCAGAAATACGAAAACTGCGATATTTTAGTAACTACTGAAGATTATTCACTCAAAATTAATATTTACAATAATTTTTAGACGAAAAATAAGAATATTATAAATTTTAGGAAAATGGGCGTAGCTTGAAGGCAAAGTGACGAAACCACCTCTTCTGCAATCGATAACGCAATTATGCTATGGGGAAAGTGACACACTACGATGACCTCCTTGATAAACCAAGCACGCCGCGATATTCACAAATGGTCTGAGCAGGTAGGCCTCAGTGTAAATCCGCAGTAATACTGGATGGCAAACTGTCATGGAAATTAATTGTGGAGGAAAGGCTGAAAAATGCGTGTGTTGGTATTAACGTATGTAAAACGATGCTGAGCAACACATGGGACC